CAGGCTATTTCTACCTATTGATCGCTCACAGCCATCTCCTCCAGGTGAACCGGCGGACTTAGTCTACTCACTGAAACAACCTAAAAACATCAAAGGAAACCAATCTTGTCCCACCCATGCCATGAGACTTAAGGGCCGTATTTTCTACACGTTATCGTGTCAGGCAGCGCACTACTCCCTAAGCAGTCTTACTAAAACCAACAGGGCTGACGTGGAACGGAGGATACCGAGGCAAGGAAGGGTGGCATGTGCCGACCTTGTACGACCACGCGCGCTACTCCAGTCGCTAAGGCTAGCGCACCTTTCCCTAGCGTTAAAGGCAATAAAAATTAGAATTGTTTTAAAGGTCTAAATGCTATAGTATGGCATATGAATATGAATGAGCTGGCAAGTACGAAGAGATTAGCATTTATTTCACTTAAGTGAACAACAGGGTGAATTAAAAGAAATGAGGCCACCCTTCATGGAAATTTATGACTAGTTCCTTCTTATTTTGTAATCCTCTTGTAATGAGAGCCTTTTCATTACTCTAGCATTCCTCACTTGTAACACATGTTTATACTAGGACCAACGCTGCTCCTACCGAACTCAGGAGGGCCTTGCCAGCGATTTCAACAGAAGCGGAACTGGCCCATTACGTTCTGAGAGCAAAAATCTCTCCACATCTCACCATCTAATAAAAATACTTTCACTTGCTATCTTCCTCCCCTCCCTTACCAAAAAAAAAAAAAAAAAAAAAATCCAGGGAACTGCCCCAGAAAGATATAACTAGGTGTTCTGGGACTACTTCTACTTATCCACCTTGAAGAAGTCCACATATTTACGTGGATTAACTTCAAGAGATCGCCATCGTCAAGCAGAGCAGAATGTGTCCCTTTGCGCATTTAAATCACAAACGGTGCTTGGGCAGCTGGTCTTTGCAAGACAACCGAAGAGCCGTGGTACTTTAGAAAAGATCAGTGCACAAACCTCACAGGAACCTGAGGTACCAAAAGCCTATATTGCACCTGGCGATCTACCCAGACAGAAACCGCTTTTGTGACAGGAACACCTCTATGCTCCTGCGTGGAGGGACAAGGCTGACGACGACTTAGCTGCACAGCAGCCACGTGCAAGGTACTGGAGCGCTGCCTCTCCTCCCCTGCATGGGGACGCACGCGTTGCCACATACTAGTCCATAATGCACTGTTTATGCAACACGTAAAACTGTGTTCTTTGGCAGCAAGGAAAGGTCTGCAGCAAACTGCAGGGGCCCAATTAATATAATTATAGTTTATTTTTAGGAGTGTAGACTTTGTTCATTAGTTACTTATTTGACATAAATTAAATTTCATGTGATGCTCTGCAATTCTCTGTTCAATTACGGAGTTAATTTCAGACTAAATGTCTAAATTGAAGTGAAATCAAGGTTAAATCAAGGTTATATTATTTACATTATCAATACTGCAACTTAAAAAATTATTTAAATAATAATTAAAAAAAGCAGGCTGCAGAATTGCACACACTGTATTTTATAGCAATACACTGTGCAAGACCACACTTTGCCCACCGGGATAATTTACTATCCCCTGCTAAAATGTTCTTGGTCCTGATCCAAAAGCCACTGAAGTTAGAGGCAATTTTCTGTCAACGTCAGTGGGCTTTGGATCAGGCCCACAGTTAGTGACAGCATACAACATTTCGAGGCATGCTTCCTGTACAATGCGAGTGCCAAAAAAACCATTCTTACTTTAGAAATGACTGGAAGTCTTCACAAACTGCTTCGCAGCCTGGCCATTTGCATACACCATGTCCATAGAGCGGATGGCTATGTGAGTGCTCCTCATGGGATAAACTGGAGGAAAGAAAGAGAAAAAGTGTTGTAACTGCAGGTACCGCACCAACTCCTCTTCACAAAGACTAAGAGCGACAAAGGACAGATCCCGAAACACCCCTTGCATCTCATGGCACCCATCTGACTCTGCTCGTGGTTTTTCAAAACAGAATTAAATAGCATCTGCAGCGAAGCATGTGTCATTCTTACTTAGCTATCCTCCTACATTTCATTCATTAATTAAAAGCTTTGTAAAGAATTTAAATGAACATGGATGGGAGAGAAATCATTTGACAGACCTGCTTAATATCCTGCTTGATATTTTGCTGAGAAATTTATGAACATTGCATATTCACAATTCAACTTCATCAGGAAGAGAAGTCATCCTCATACAGCAAGGTATTCTTAAAACACAACAATAATACGACCAGGACCTAAGGCGTTCTGCAGCACTATGGAAAGAGAAAAAGCACCTAGCTTTCCCACCACGTTAGCTATCCCTTTTTTTTTTTTTTTTTTTTGGTCTTGCAGGCTGGGGGTTTTTGCGCTAGTACAGCCTTTTTATATCCCACTGAAAAGATTCAGCGGTGTTTTCAAATGTAAAATTCATCATAAAAAAGGAACCACATAATTGCAGAATTCTGCAGTACGAGGGCTTAGTGGGGGCTCTCGACCTCGCTACGATTTGGCAGAAACGTCACAGAGCTGTCTGCCTACCGAAACCAGGGTTAAAGCGCAAATTCTGATGCACACGAAGGGGTTAATCCTTCAGCGGGATTCCAATCAATACGTAATGATTTGGCTGCACTGATCCAAGTCATGAGACGCTTTGATCCAGGCCATGTGGTGCTCAGGGAAATGTATCTGTTGCACTAACTGATGAACCATATTCTAAAATATCTTCTTTATTCAACTTCTGCATGGAAACTTCTTAAGGAAAGGAATTATTTTTGCAACAATTTCCATAACCTTAGATGACTTTAAACACAAAATGTCAAAATAATATTAAAATCTCTATTTTACGCTCACACACACATCTATTTTTCATAGCAATCTTTTTGCTGGAGTATGCCTGTGCCATATTACAAACTTCAAACATACACAAAGGATATGAACACATACCAGCATCTAGGTGTGGTTTTATGACTTATTTTATCCTGGATTACAGGTAACGTTACGGATAAACACCTACTTTTTGCAACATTACACATGTGGAAAGGCCATTTATTCTTGTTCTGTAATATTATCTGCCTGCGTACGATAACAATATTTTATTCTTGTATTATTTCTTAAGCACGGGATAGCAAGATCACTGTAGAACATACTCCTGCGATGTTACCTCAGATACAAAGCAAGTCGCATGATAAATTCCTGCCCAGAGTCTGTCAGTTTTGTGTTTAGGTCCAATAAGAATCTGAAGATAACTGACATCTTTTTTTTTTTCCTTAAACTAACTGCTCTTCAAGTAAAAAAAGTATGGATCTGACTGGAAGAGGTATTACAAGGTGTACATGAATCTAATTTGTGATTTCATTAAAATTGTGGTTTTGACATATACATATACACACACGCACACATACGCGTACATAAAAAATAAACAAATAAAAATTAAAAAATAAAAACCCAGCAAGCTAGTTCCCTAAAAAGAAAAACAAACAAAACCCCACTTACAAAGGTTTTCCCCGTAAGAAAATATTGCACTGGCTTAACTTAAGCAGTTCTTAAAACATGCATGCAGGGAGAAGCTCTACCGGATGAGTTTTTAAAAGAACAAAGGGACCAATGCATTCCTTGCAAGGAACTTGGGAAAAATGCTATACCACACGTTTCACCAACTGAAAAACACGGCGGATGGTTGAAGGAACGCTGTTCACTCAAGCCAGCCAGGGTCAGATGCCCTCTAGACACATCACAAGAGAATAATTGGGAAAATAATGGCGATCGAAGCCATGCCTGCGGTACCAGTACAGTTCACCAAAACGCTGGTTTCTGCAGCGAAGTCGGTTTCAGGAGTTCCCTCCCCTCTCCCTGCCCGTGCGCCGCAACGGAGCCCCCCCGGGAACCCTGCTCTAACCGCTGGCGGGACCGAGGCAGAGGCCGGATCGATAACGGCGGCCAGGCAAAGCCAGCGGGTGCCCGGCCCGCGCCTCGGGGTAGCCCCCGGGCAGCCCCACGCGCTCGAGCCACCCCGCTTTCTCGCACAGGCAAGTCCTTCGTTCGCTTGCTCCGTCCGTCGGCAAAGCTAGCTGGATCTGAAGGCTAAGTTCTGCAGGCTGCTCGCAGGCAATATTTGAATTTAGACACATCTGTTCTCAAAAATCATATTTTGTTTTATTTTTTTTTTTTTTTTTTTTAAAGTTTTTGGTTATTTTGTTTTTATCATCTCCTTCTACATCTGAATAAAGAAAAGTGTGAGAAAGTAGATAACGCTCCATCAAGGTCCGTGAAGAGTTTATGAGAGTTACGATTTCAGTGTGTTTGGCAGCACTCAAAAAAATTTAGCATGTTCATTTACACAGCGAACGTTACCCAAACACCAAGAAACTAGACTAGAGAAACGTCACGTGACCTGAAGTAAGGCGCAAGCCCCCGAGGGGTCTTCAGCACCGTAAAGCTCGCTACCCCATCAAAGGGAGTCACACGGCTGAAACCCCCAGCAGGGTTTTTTTAAAGTTTCTCTGCGACAGCCTAAAGGCCATGGCCAAGCCAACGGAAAGAGTCCAACAGAGATTAGTAGTTATTTCCTACATCGAAGCGCAAAAATCTCTCCTCTTTCCAGGGAGCTTATGCAAGACAAGATAAACCACGCAGGACACGATACGCTAGTGCTGTGGTCGAACGACCAAGAGAGTATCGCGCGTAAGCTACGTTCAGGATGTCAACGTCTAGTGCTGTCAATAACCAGAAAGCCTGGTGTTGACCATAAACAGGAACTTAAAAGGTCATTTTGCTAACAAGATGCTAAGCACAATATACTTAACACCTATATATAGCTTCCACTGCTGTTCAACACAGCTGAGGAACTTCTGAAACTTATCAAAAATAGATACTTTCAAGAAGAATAAAAGAACCCTCAGTGTTTAAAGAAAAGTCCAGGCACTAGCAGCGGGCCGCTTGTCGCTTCAAAGCTAGCTACTCCCATCCCAGTCGGAGATTTTTCAGTAGCGCATTTTGGTGACCTTTATGTGTCAATATGAGATTACTGCTATTTTATCCATCCCGCTTTTGAAGATATTATAGACTGTCACTTGTTCAGTGACAGAGCCTGAAGAAGCACCTCAAAACAAAGCCAACAGTGGTTTTATACAGAAGCGGATATAACACGAAAAGGATACAGGCCATGGACATAAACGGAGAACCCTCTTTTCCTTTAGGTGATGTAAGTACTCACTTTGTTTAAGCAAATGGAGGTAGAAAATGAAGATTTAAATCCAATATATAAGCCAACAGCTTTGTGGGCACAATATAGACATATATTTTTAATTGTTCAATAATATTTTGTCTGTCTGCAAGCACAGTTTCTAAAACCTGGATGCATCTCTGGTCTCCCTGCCGGAGACGGTATTTTAGAAGACCAGAACATTGGCAAGCACAAGCAAGTTTTGGGGCTGTTTGATTTCTAATGACACATTAGAGTAGGTGTTTGTTTCTGTTACCCTCTCCTTCCCAGGAAGGCATATTTCACGGTCGGGTATGGGGGATTTAGCACTAGGTAGTGGAAATGATTTTTATAACAATAGGTAATTTTCAAAGTAATGAAAGGATAAACAAAGTGTTTTCCCCTCCGCCTCCCTCAGGCTCAGTAACGTATATTACTGCAGATCTCCAGGGGCCCCGGAAGTAAACTCACCATATTCTCCAACAAGTGGTGTTGCTATAGGCTTGTACTTAAACAACCCACGTCACTCACATCGTTACAGCCAATTAACTTCTGGAATGGATCTGCTCTGCTATGGTAGACTCACATTTTGGGGCAAAAACTACACACTATAGAGACACCATGGACAGCTAAGCCCAGACGAGGAGCCAAAAGGACAACACACCCAGAAGCGAGAAAGAAATGCTTGACATGTTGGGAAAACCAGTGACCAAAGCACTGGTGAGAAAGCTATTGGTGCTGTACGGTTTAATTCAACCCATATGTACCAGCTGTGTGAAACTGGGCACCATGTTTTTAAACATTAGCAAAAAAAAGTCATGGGTGGATGCAAAAACCAAGTAAGCAGGAGCCCCAGTAATAATATTTCTGCCGCACAGTGGACCGTATTTCAAATACTCACGATGCTAAAATGCTTCATACTGCACTGCATCTCTTCCACATCTGCTCGGGCCAACAACAGTTGCCAAAAACACGGGGGGAAGTCAGTGATGTAGAGAAGCCTCCTTGATTTTCTAGTACAGTTATGAAGCATCTGCTCACGTTTCAGCGGCGCTGAGAACACGACTGAGCCACCTGCACGCTGAACAAAATCAATACCACATCTCCCGCTTTCCTCCCGCGAGGGGTCTGAGCAGGGCACCCAAAGCAAGCAGAATGGCTTTTTTAAAAGAAAAAACTTTTATTTATTTCCCAGGGGCAACGGGGAGTGACTTCATCTCCGCCAGCTGCCCGTGAGGCGGACCTGAGTGCACCATCCAGGCAGAAGGAGCACACGGCTCGGCGGCCGCACCGCGTCCCCCCTCGTCCCCACGCAGATCGCACCGCAGGCGAGGCAAAACGCCACGATTTCAGTCCCACGCGCGAGGCCGCGAGACGCCATCGGGACTGGACACGGTGCCCCGTATTCGGGACTGCCCTGCCAAGGTCTAAAGGCACTGGAGAAGCAAAGATGGTGAAAACGCCAGAAGTCCTCAAGTTGGAAACACTCGCTCTATTTGATTCAAAATCAAAGCGAAAACGGTAATGCTTAGCTCTTGGTACCAACCCATTCCTCTGTTACCAACAAGAGGCAGACACTGTCCTCTAATGCACGTTCCTGCCTTCACGACAAAACCCGCGGCCCAAAGATGCGTTGGGCAGT